ATCAGAGGGGGAGATGAACCATGAGAGACTATGGACTCTGAGAAACAATCTGAGGGTTTTAGAGGGGAGGGGGTGGGGGGATGGGTTAGCCCGGTGATGGGTACTAAGGAGGGCACGTACTGCATGGAGTACTGGGTGTTATACGAAAACAATGAATCATGGAACACTACGTCAAAAACTAATGATGTATTGTATGGTGACTAACATAACATAATAAAATAAAATTAAAAAAAAAGAGAGAGCACAACAAACTGCCCAACAAGATAGAATACAGAAGCAGCAGTTTCAAAAACGCCTGGGGCATACAGGAGGGAGAGTTATTTACTAATCTCAGAGCAAGTCCAGAGGGGCAACAGTCACAAGGAGACTCCTCCGGGAACAAAGGAGCTGACACGCACCATCTCCCTCCCCAGCCCCACAGCATACACACATGGCTCCTGTGGGACCCAGCGAGGCAGACATTCACTACCTAACTTGCTAACACTGCCACCCCACCCTCCAGCACCTTGTGGATCCACCGCCTCCAATACAATGTTGGCCCCGCCCAACCAGGGTGGTGCCACAGGCCTGGCAGTGCCTAAGTAGCCCCAACAGTGGCCAGCACCACTCCAAAGTGACTCCTGCCCTGGGAAGAGGGAAAGATAAGCATACACCCGAGTCACACTGTGGCCCCAGCAGTGGGCTGAAGGCAGACAACTGGTCTGATGGCAGGCCGTGCCCACCAATGAAAGCTTCTTGGAGCACAACACAGGGAAAGCGCCCTGCAGTCTGGTGCTACCACAGCTCTGGCAAATGCCTGGTCTGACTCAACTCAAGCCCAAGGCAGCCCCACCAGATTGGCCCACTAACAACACAGGGACCAAACCCTACCCACAACAGGCAAAGAGAGCCATTGTAGATGACTGGACTGAAAGCAAAAGAGGCTCAGCCTTGACAGCAGGGTGCACACAGCACACAGGAGACACCGCTGAAGAGTCAGGTGCTGGTGAAGAGGGGACACTGTGCTGCAGCACATGACAGGACTTCTTCACAGGCCACAAATTGCAACAGCAGGAGACGTAGCTGACTTTCCTGACACACAGAAGCAGACACAGCGAGTTACACAAAATGAGGAGATAGGGATATGCCCCAAATGAAAGAACAGGACAAAATCACAGCAAGAGACCTAAGTGAAATGGAGAGAAGTAATATGCCTGATAGAGAATTTAAAGTAATGCTCGTATAGATACTCCCTGGTGTTGAGAAAAAAGTGGAGGATGTCAGTGAGACCCTTAACACAGAGATAAAAAAGAAACAATCAGAAATGAAGAACACACAAAATGAACTACTGGGACTTCATCAAGGTAAATTCAATAATTACCTATCAATAATGACTTTGAATGTAAATAGACTAAATGCTCCAATCAAAAGAAATAGGATGACAGAATGGATAAAAAAACAAAACCCATCTATAAGCTGCCCACAAGAGGCTCATTTCAGGCATAAAGACACATGCAGATTGAAAGTGAGGGGATGGAGAAACATTTATCATGCAAATGGATGTCAAAAGAAGGCTGGAGTGCAATACTTATATTGGACAAAATAGACTTTGAAACAAAGACTGTTTAGAGACAAAGAGACAAAGAATACTATATAATAATAAACAGAACAATCCAACAAGAAGATATAACTATTGTAAATATTTATGCACCCAACATGTGAGCACCCAAATACATAAAGGAGTTAATAACAAACATAAAGGAAGTAATTGATAGGAATACAGTAATAGTTGGGGACTTTAACATCTCCCTTACATTAACAGACAGATCATCTAAACAGAAAATCAACAAGGAAACAGTGGCTTTGAATGACACACTGGACCAGATGGATTTAACAGACAGATATATTCACAACATTTTATCCTAAAACAACAGACTACATATCCTTTTCAAGTGTACATGGAACACTCTCCAGAATAGATCACATATTAGAGCACAAAACAAGTCTCAATAAATTCAGAAAGACCAAAGTCCTACCATGTATCTTTTCTAACCACAACAGTATGAAACTAGACATTAACCACAAGAAAAACTCTGGAAAGAGCACAAATACATGCTCTTTAACATGTTTAAATAACATGCTACTAAATAATGAATGAGTCAACCAAGAAATTAAAGAGGAAACCAAAAAATACATGGAGACAAAACGAAAACACAAGGTTCCAAGATTTTTCTTTGGGTTGGAGCAAAAGCTATTCTAAGAGGGAAGTTTACAGCAATACAGACCTACCTCAAAAAGAAAAATCTCAAAAGCAACCTAACTTACACCTAAAGGAGCTTGAAAAAGAACAAAACCTAAAACCAGCAGAAGGAAGGAGATTATAATAAAGAGCATAAATAAATGAAGTAGAAACTAAAAAAAGAATAAAGGAGATCAATGAAACCAAGAGCTGATTCTCTGAAAAGATCAATAAAACTGAAAAACCTTTAGCCAGACTCCTTTAAAAATAATAATAGAGAACTAAAAAAGATCAACTGACAAAAAAAGCCCAAACCAATATTAAAAAAAAAAAAACAAAAAACCCACAACAACAAAAACACCCTGACCATATAGGTATGGGTCTATTTCAGGTCCCTCAATTGAGACTCTTCATTTTTCCTTTTTTTTTCCTTTAAAGATTTATTTATTTATTTGAAGGAGAGAGAGAGAAAGAAAGAGAGAGAGAGCATGAGCATACACGAGTGGGAGAAGGGGCAGAGGGAGAGAATCTCAAGGAGACTCCCAGTTGAGCGTGGAGCCTGACGTGGGGCTCAATCCCACAACCCATGAGATCATGACCTGAACCCAAATCATGAGTCAGACGCTTAACCAACTGAGCCACCCAGGCGCCCCCATTTTTCCATTTTTAGTCTTCTTTCTTCCTTGATTTTGGGATGTTCTGTTTCTATGACTTCATGTTCACTGACCTCTTCTTTAACAGTGTCTAACCTGCTAGTAATCCCCTCCTGTGAAATTTTCATTTCAGAATATTGTATTTTTGATCTCAAGAAGATGAATTTGGTTCTTTTTATATCTTCTATTTCTTTCCTCATTATGTTCCCCTGAGCACAGATCAGCCTCGCTGTTAAGGTGTGACCTTTCTGAAGTTTCCACTGTATGCTTGATGTATTTAACAAAATCTCTCCACTCTGGGTGGTAGGAACTCAAATCATTCCCAACCTGTGGGAGCTCTTGACATTGTCTGGCTTCTGGCTCCCTAGCAACTGTTCTCTCCCTAGCAGTTATGTTTTATACCTGGCCTCATGCAATTTCACCTACGCACAGGCAGACTCTAGTCCACCAAGAATTTCAGGGGATCCCTATCCATATTTCTAGAGTTCTTTCTCTGTGCAGCACCCTCTTCCAGCACTCTGCCCCACAATCTTTAGTCATTTAATCTCCCCAAATTCCAAGCATTGTCTTCTCAATTCACTGAAGTCACTGGCTCTATCTGGCTTCTCCTACCAGCATCAGGAAATTGCATCAGGTGGAACACCAGGACAATTCAAGGGCTCACCTCATTTGTTTCACTTCATTTGGGGATCACAGGCCCACACTGTCTGAAGTCCAATGTCTGCAAACAACTGTTTCATAAATATTGTCCTGTTTCTCTAGTTGCTTATGCAGGGAGACTGTATTCCAACCCTGTTATTCCCTCATGGTGAATTATTCCCTCCATGGAGTCTTTAGACATTTATTTGGTTCCTTTTTAATTCTCTGGGGTCATTTTTATAGTAATTTGTTCCCTAAAGATATTTCAAACATGCCTTTTATTTCTTTACAGTAACATAGTTGTTTTCTTTTCTAACTGTGTCTGGACTCCAATATTTGATGTCTTTGTGGGTTAAATTCTCCCGTCTGGTGTTTCTGCTGGCTCTCTCTCATAAACCTTCTTTGTCTTTTTAAAGATATTTTGTTAGACATTTTCCCCAAGCTACTTTAATTTAAAAATTACCAAAATAAAATAAAGTACAAAAGTAAAATGAAAGAAAGAAGTTCCGTTAGTGGGGGAAGGAGAGGAATGGGGATGGTATCTGCATGTGACTGAATTTCCTACAGACTCTGGAAGCAGTTTTCAAGGTTATAACTGTTGAGACTCTTTACTCATCAGTCTAAACCTTGACTTTAAACTTACCTGCTTTGTCCTCATGAGGTCACTGGAGAAAACATGAGTAAACTTCACATTATTAAGAAATACGCCAGCGGCAGCTGCTTGTTTAAATCCAGTTTCTGAAAGAGGCTCATCTATTCCTTGTCCTGTGGTAGTCAGAGAAGGAACAATAACATTCAAATATAAAGATAACAGATGCAAATAAATCACATGTAAGAAAATATAAATAGAATTTATCTATATTTTATTAAAAGATTTCCTTAGGTACTTTTCTATATAACTTTTCAGAGAACCAAAAAAGCAAGTAAAATTAAGCTATAATCCTGTAAAGGCTCAGGTATTCAAATGCTTCCCAAAAGAATGTTGCCTAATGGGAATCAGATGATGATGAGAATTCAGTTGTCTCCAGCTCTCCCTTCTCTTGTGTCTGCCCATCCCTTCATTAGCTGTTATTTTCTTAATGCTGGCTCTGATCTTATGTTCTCAACCCAGGCGCTGCATTTGAAAGACAGGATCCTTACCTAAAAAGTTTCCCTTCTTTACCTCCACTGCCCAAATGTTCAATATTGTATTATTTCCCCTCACCCTTGTTCCCCTCTTTCTTCATTCCCTCTTTTTCCTTAAAACAAAACAAAACAAAAAAAATTTTGGAACCTTCATTTCCAGGAGAAGGGCTGATTAAACACTCTGAAGTGTCCTCCTATTGCAAAAGAACTAAATGGGTGTGTGTGTGTGCATGATGCTCACAGGATCTAAGGAAAGTCTCTAAGAGGAAATGCAAAGCAACCAAAATACCCTGAGCTGAAACCTGAATATTAACATTAGAAAAATGGAGTTGCCAGGGTATCAGCACAAGCAAGGGGGCAGCTGGGGGAGGGAGCCTGCTGCATGGCACAGCAAGGTAGGAGGACTGAACTCAGCATTCCTGGAAGCTAGAGATCCTACAAGGAAGCTGGTATAGTCTCAGGTCAATAGTAAAATCAAATGCAAATTCGCTTCAGAGCAAATCTGACTGAATAAAGGCTAACACGTTTCCTACTAAGAGCAAATAATAGTTCAGTCAGTAACTTAACATACAAGAAAATAATCTATCGTGAATGAAAGTCAGCAGAAACAACAAAAAACAGATTCAGAATCATTAATACTTCAGACATTGAACTCAGCAGATACAGACTACAAACTGTGAATAAAACATATAGACGGAATCACAAAAATAAGCAAGTAACAAGAAGTCATCAAAACCAACCAGACAGCTTTCTAAAAGAACCAGACAGATCTTTTAATAATGAAAAATATTATGAATTGTTGAGGAGGGAAACAATCCTTCAGTGGATAAAGGGAGATTCAGTAACAGAAAGGCTTAATGAACTCATAGACAGGGCTGAGGTATTACCCCACATGCAGCACAGACAAAGGAGATGAAACACATCTCACATCTATCAGAGACATGAAGGACAGAATGATATTCCCTAACATACATCTGACTGGAACTCCAGAAAGAAGAAAGAAAATATGAAGAGATAATGGCTGAGAATTTTCCAGAAATGATGGAAAATCTACAGATAAAACACCAAGCAGGATAAATTAAAAAGAAAAAAAAAAAATCCCTCCTAGATATATTAAGGGAAACCTATAGAATACCAAAATCAAACAAAAGATTTTAAAAGCAGTTGCAAAGACTGATTGCCTACCATGGAACATGACTTGGCTGAGAGAAGACTTCTTAACCGGAGCAATGGAAGCAAAAAAAAAAAAACAGCACAATAACAAGTGCTAAGAGAACTGTCAGTCTAAATTGTCTAGGCTAAAAAATGCTGAATAGAATAAAAATAGAATTGTCTAGAATAGAAACAATTAAAACTATCTTTACCACCAACCAATCTGCTGTAGGGGACCTTTCAAAAAAGATACTTCAGGAATGAAGGTCTGAGATGCAAAAGAAATGAGAAGGAGAGAAAACTGGTAAATATATATGTAAATCTAAACATTGTCTAAATAACGAATCAAATAATAATGCCTATGTCATGTGGTTAAAAAAGGATAGGACTAGGATACTAAGCAATAGTCATATAAGTTCCTTGTATTTTGGGGGAAAGGAGATAGTGATAATATACTTCATTAGATATGAATGGTAAAAATTTAAAGGTAACAATTGAAAGAATGGAAATAATTTATCATTCCAAAGCCAGCAGGGAAGTGGGGGGAGGAGCAGGAGAGGGAGGAGGGAGGGGAGGAAGAGAACCAAAATCAGCTATGTAGTATTTATGAGGTAACACTTAAGACGTCAGCACCCAGAAAGGCTGAAAGGAAGGCAAGAGAAAAACATACCAGGCGAATTCCAAGCCCAAAACAGCTGGAGAAGCTATATTATACTCACAAATGCAAGACTTTATGACAAAAGTCTTAGGATTGTGAGGATACTATAAATAATCAACGATCCAATTCACTAGGAAGGCAGAACAATTTTTAAACCTGTATATGTATGTGCCTCATAAAATAATCTCTGTATAAGAGCAGAACACACAAAGCACAAATTGATAGAATGTCAGGGACTAAACTATAAGTTGGCCATCACAATGGGAAATTCCACATCTCACCCATAAATTGGTATTTCGGTCATACAGGCAAATTCGTAAATTTACAAAATTAGCAAAGCATAGAAAATCTGAACAAAACAGAGGTTAATTATTTGACATATAACTCCAAACCCAACAATCCGAGAACACAGATTTTTCTCAAGCATACAATGGTAGATTTATAAACACAGCATGTTAACAGATTTCGAAGAGTCTCATCAAATAAGCCATCTTCTCAGATTGGAAGCCAATCATAAAAGAGAACAAGCAAAAACAAAAAGCCCAGTCATCTGGAAATTTACAAACAGTTCTAAATAATTCATGGGTCACTGAAGAAATCATAGTGGAAATTTAAGACACCTGGTGCTGAATACCTATGAAATGACTACATATCAAAACTGTAGTTATGCAACAACTGTTCCAATGTACTTGGAAATATATAAGCCTTGAATGCTTTAACTTAAAGAATAAGCATCTAACTGACAAAGGTAGGAAAATAACACAAAGCAAATGTCAAAACCAGGTGTGATCACAAAAATGTGTATTCCTGCTCCGCTGTTAGTGTCTAATGGAATGAGACAGGTGGGCAGTACTAAAGGACAGGGTGGTAAGGGACAGAAGTACAGAGGCTAATTTGGGTTGGGCACATGTCAATGGAAAACAAAGGTTCATTTAATTATCAGACTAGTTTTCAGAAGAGGGAGTGGGGCACTCTGGGTATGAAAATCAGGTTCTGCAAATTCCAGATGTCCCTATCCAAAAAAATAAAACTAAATGTTTTTATAATCACAGCACAGAAATAGCCTGTCTGGCTGAGAGTTTACCCAAAATATTCTTTAAAAGCTAGACTTGCTGGATCATAGGGAGATTAAAAGATCTGAACCCAAATTAGCAGAACAACAGAGGAAGAATCTGTTAGAATAAAGTAACAATCCTGTGTGAGAATAGGAATTCTCTTTTTACACCTCTTGTTACTACTAAAAATAATATAACCATCTTAGAAGAAAAATACTATTAACACCAGCCAGCAAACTTCATGTTTCCAAATAGGAAATCATTTTAAATCACAGCAGTTATATTTTAAGACCACTAGACTCAACGTAACTCTTCAATCAGCTGACTGGGCCACTTGAAGCTACCTATAAACAACTCAGAATCCTATTCTTTACATTCAGTTCACTTAAGAGACTTATTCCTCTTGATGGCCATCTGCTCTAATCATATTTCTATGGCTATGACACTTTCTCTAATGCTGTTCACAATACAAGCTGCCCCCGGTCTACCCTCCCCCCCCAAATCTGATTAACTCACATATCACATTAACACTAAAGGAGACAGCTAAAATAAAGTATACTAACCTTGAATTATTTTCTCCTTGTTAAATCTTGTTTCTCCACTAAAATAGAGAGGGTGGGGGGGGGAAAAACCTTTATTACCAAATTAGGTTATTTTTGAAATGAGAAAAAAATCACCAATGAAAGGTAATGATATTCACAAAGGCAGCATATGAACACTGTAGCATACTTCATAATCTAACCTGTAAACATAAAACTTGTTCTAACCTGCTATTTGCAATCGTCTACTCTTATTTAGTTGATGAGCTAAGAATTTCACCCTGCCCCAAATTAAAATATGTAACTCATGAATCAATCGTAAGTAAATTTTAAGTAGCAAATTCTATGAGAATACATATATAATTTTTATTAAATAATCTTGTGAAAATAAATTATGTTGACTAAAACTCTTTTTACAAGCAGCAGGAGGAAACCATGAGTCCATCTCTTGCTGGACTGAATAAACAAGTGCAAGGGAACCTGAATTCAGGGGAAAAAAAGTCCCCAAGCCTTCAGACACCCTGGCTTCTCCCAGTTCCTAGAGCTCAAGCTGTTCCTTCTTGTAATGCTGACAACTATCTTGCAGACCACACTGAAAAACTGAGGTTTGGGTACTATGTTTTGAAGAAGTCAAAAACCAAACCGAACCAATTTTGAAGCCACCAGAAGAGGGAAAGGACTGGAAACGTTATTACAAAATAATCAATTGAGGCTGGAGGGGAAAGAAAGTGAAGGGGGCTGTGCTACCTGGACCAGACCAGACAGCAGGATATACCTGCAACAAAAGCAATCAAGTACATGAAAAGCTATCAAGAACTGAGTGGAAAATTCTTTGAGGCCTTTTTATGTGCTAAGTACAGTGCTAGGCACTGGAAATGGAGACACAAAGGACCAGGAGCAGACTGGGAGAAAGGAGTTGGCTTGTTCTGTATGGACACTGGACACAGAATTGGAAATGATAGGTAAAAATAGTAAATAGGTTTCTTCAGATCAAGTTGTTTCCTCATTTGGTATCAAATGCCCACATATTTATAGATTTCCATGTCAATGAGAGGTGAAAATCCTTTAAAGTAAACTTCATTGCCATATAGCAGGCTGAGAAACAAAACTGCTTTGGCTGTATCCCTAGGAGCTTGGTTAGGCTGGAGTGACTCTGTTCTTTGTCTGTAAAATGGGGACAATATTAGCCCTATTTAAACAGAACTCTTGGGGCGCCTGAGTGGCTGTGTCAGTTAAGTGTCCAGCTCTTAATTTCCTCAGCTCAGATCTCAGGGGGTTGTGGGATCGAGCCCACGCTGGGCTCGCACTCAGAGGTTGTCTGAGATTCTCTCTCTCCCTCTGCCCCTCCCTGCCCTCCTCACCTGTGTGTGCACTCTATGTCTCTCTCTAAAAATAAATAAATAAATCTTTAAACAGGACTCTTGGGGTAACTGAATACAGGCCAAGCAAACTGTTTATCACAGGTAAAGTGTTTAAACACTGCTCAGCTTTAAAAATAAACAAACAAACAAACACTGCTCAGCTTTCAGTAAGCACTCAATAGTTCTGTTTATAGGTCATTCTTGGACAGAGCTACACAGAAATCAAAGATTCAACTTAATGCATTTTAAATCTTGTAAAAATTGTGAAATAAACAATATAAACAAATAATATACCATAAAGCCAACATTCAGGTGACCCCACCCAAGTTAACAGATCACCTCCAGCCTCCTAGACCTTGTCTCTTTCTGATCACAATGTCCTCCCACCCGCAGTGGATCCACTACCTGGACATTTAGATGCCCACTTGCTTCACCTTTCTTCATAGCTTTCCCACCCATGTATAGCACAGATTAGTTCCCCTGTTGTTGAACCTTTATAATGAATTGCTTCTTACTGTATGAAGTCCTCTGTGTTGTTTCTGTTCTTTAACATTGTTTGCGAGATACATCAAGGTTCTTGAGGGTGGCATACTTCTTACTTCTCATTATTGTGTAATATGCATAAGAGTTTACCACAATGTATTTATATATTCTACTGTTCATATTTACATTGTTTCCAGTTTAGAGCTAAACTGCCGTGACTATCTTTGTACAGAGTGCATCAAATTCTCTAAGGCAGTGGTCCTCAAAGTGCGGCCTCTGGATCAGGATCACTGGCATTGCCTGAGGACTTTTGGAAATGCAAATTCTCAGGCCCCACCCCAGACCCCTGAATCAGAAACTCAGAGGTTGGGGTCCAGTTAATCTGTGTTTTAATAAACCCACCAGGTGATTCTTATGCAGATTCATGTTTGAAAACCACTCGAGAACTGACAAATTACTTTTTGTAAACAGTTATACTGGAATAGTCACACATGTGTTTGTATGTTGTTTATGGCTTCTTTCACACTGTAATAGTGGACTTGAGCAGTTCAGACAGAGTGCATGGCTTGTAAAGCCTAAACTACTTCCTACCCTTTAATTAAAAGTTTGCTAACCCACACCTAGTGATATAGGCCTAGCACTAGAATTGCTGAGCCACAAAGTATGCAAACATTCAGCTTTATTAGGTATTACCGAAGTGGTCATAGCAATTTACATCCCCCAGCAGCGTTTCACATCCTCTCCAACATTTAGTAATGTCAGTTTCCCATTTGTGCCAATTTGGCACTAGAACAGTTTATCTCAGTTTGATCTGAATTTGTATTTCCCTGATTACTGTGAAGGCTCATCACCCTTGCTCTGTTTGTTTTACATAAAGCACTAGTTAAAAAACAAAATAAAACAAAAGCCCTCACCTGGGACTGATTTACACAGATCCAGAAAGGAACTCCATCAGACCGGAGAGTCAGAATCACAAACCCAGGCCTCTGCCTGGAACCCTGTCCATTGTTTACAGAAATAGTTGTTTGCCAACCTCTGCCTAGAGCAGTGGTTCTCAAACTTGGGCGTGTATCAGAATCCCCTGGAGGGCTTATTAAAACATAGACTGCTGGACCAGGCCAATAGGTTCTCATTCTTCAAGACCCAACACAGAGCGAGCTCTCTGTGGGAGTCTTCCCTTCCCAGCACATTTCCCCACCTACCTATCCCATTTAAACACCCCAATGCTATACTTCCATTTTACCCAGCACCACTATTAAAAGTTACCACCTGTATACTAATTAACTTTTTTAGTTGTGTGTCTACCCTGGCTCCAGCTCCTTAAAGGCACAGCCAGAGGTTGCCTCGCCCTAACATACTCATTACCTGGAGAAAATCCTGGGAAATAGAACCTCAGTGTATGGCCATCTGAAAATACCTATCAAAATAACAAATCTGTTTGCCCTTTGATCCAACAACCCTATTACTGGGAATGTTTACATTCATCCATATTTAAAGGTAATTTTTTAAAAAATATTTTATTTATTTATTTGACAGAGAGAGACACAGCGAGAAAGGGAACACAAGCAGGGGGAGTGGGAGAGGGAGAGGGAGAGGCAGGCCTCCCGCTGAGCAGGGAGCCCAATGCGGGACTCGATCCCAGGACCCCGGGTTCATGAGCCGAGCCAAAGGCATCCATATTTAAAATAATACTTGTAACAATATTATTTCTAATAGCAAAAGATGGTAAATAACCTAAACGTCCATTAATAGGGAACCGGTTACATTAACAAATAAATGGTGGTGTGGCTACATAATGGAATACTATGTAACTGTGTCCCCTAAAAAGAGTGATTTATGTAAAGATATGGAAAAATCTCCAAAATATATTAAGGAGAAAAAACAAGGTGCAGGATAATATTAAAAAAAAAATTTTACCTTTTTAGAAAGGTGGTAAATAAGAATAAACATTTGGACCTGCCACAAAACAAAACAAAACACTGGAAGGATACATGAAAAACTAATAAATATGACCATCTAAGGGGTGAGAGGAGAAGAGGTTAAGACCAGGGAGAATTGTTCTGATTTCTAAATATGTGGATGTAGCTTTAAAAAAATACATGACAGGGCGCCTGGGTGGCTCAGCCAGTTAAACGTCTGCCTTGGGCTCAGGTCATGATCTCCAGGTCCTGGGATGAGCCCCGCATAGGGCTCACTGCAAAGCAGGGAGCCTCCTTCTCCCTCTCCCCCGCCCCTGTTCATGCTCTCTCTTGCTATCTCTCTCTCTTATAAATAAATAAAATCTTTAAAAAAAAATGTATGACAAATAAATGAAATGTCTCAGAACTATTTACCACTGGTTTGCCATTATTATCATTGTTGTGGTTAATATTAATAAAATATGTCTTATACTCCAAAATTTATTCAGAATCATACAAAATAGATGTGAAAGAGTATATTAATCTCTACCATTCAGACAGAGAAAGCTTCCAGGGCGATGATGAAGAAATTGTCATTTCTAATACAGAAAATGATTCCCAAACATTGTATGCACTTCCTGTCTCAGCCTCATAATCTTGCTGAGTGAGATCAAGAATAAAAGAACTGCTGTTAAATACAAGTAATGTCCTCTTTAGACAGGACTTGGTAGCCAATTCAATTTCAAGCAAAATTCAAAGAACCCTCCCTATGCCATGTTTACTTTTATACAGGAACCTCAAAAGCTTTTGCCTACTTTATGCGAATCACAATCTCTCCGGCTCATTTTATAAATTTAAGATCAAAGATGAGGAGAAATTTAATAATTTGCCAATCCAGGTTTTTACAAATCATACAAATTCAGCAGATGATAATTTTTTTTTAGCAGATGATAATTTTTTGTATGCTTGCTAAAAAGACAGCTCATGATTTTAGTTCAATCTCAATAGCTGATTTGATAAGATGCAGAATAATATAAAAGATTCTATTATCAAAATGTCATACTATAAAAAAATGGAATCTCAGTACTTTCTGACAGTTTTGTAAGGTACTGCCACACCATTTAACTATTTTTGACAAAGGGAGGAAAAAAATAGCAATGATATAATGAAGGATTTTATTTAGCTAAAGTCAATAGAGAGACTTAATTACTGTATTATTAACAATCACTGGCATTCTGCTGGGCATTTTTTGCCTTCAAATCACTTTACAAATATTACAGAGCAGGAAACCTAGAAATAGAATTTTCCCCCCAAAACTTTCATATATATTTACTTTCACAGCTTTTATCAGCTTTATCAAGAGGTTTGTATAAATCCTTATGGCAACTGTATACAGGGTTTTTTGGGAGTGGGAAAGAAAAGTAGGTGCCTAAAATAGTTTTACTATTAATCTACTTCCCTTAACGAAAGTTTAGCTTGTGATAGAGGCAGAGAAGGTAGAGGAAGCTGAAAGGTCAGAGGGATATATTTTGAAGGAGTCAGGAATAACACTACTCATTTTCAAAATCTCCAGTGTGATCCATTTCCAAAACAGAACACCCGACTCTGCAAGAATCCAAACGCTTATGCCAAGAAGTTAAGTCTTATGACCAGCCATTTACAGGCCCTACAAATATGCATCATTCATTTTGTAGGTTATTATACTGTTCTTCACTTCAAAAGATATTTTATTTTGTTAGCTCTGGTTTACATTCTATGGCATTTCCTTAGTAGTCATTTATAAGGCTTAATTTCCCAATCATATCCTTTAAATAATTTAAATTCAATCAACAAGTATTGTTTGCCACAAGACAGAGATAAATCATAGGAAATTAGTACAGTTGGGGGCATGTTTTCAAAATAGGTATGCTTTAGTGTACATGGAAATGCAAAGCCTCACCTAATATTTAATCATGAATACAGCTTTATCCTAATTCTTCTCTACCAATTAATTCATCCAAAAACATGGAAGATTTCAAGGGCTAGTAACACAGAGACTTTCACTAGATAGGTTGAGGGGAAAAAAATGTAACACACTCAACTCATGATATGTTTTTGTTTATAAAGAAGTTAGTCGTAGTTGTAAACGGTCTCCCAATTGATCAACTGTATTCTCAAAAAACAAATACCACAGTAACATAACAAACACATAGATGTTTATAAAAGTTTACAGGTGACCTAATATTTACTGTGTTTGTTTTATTAATGACCAGATTGGCATGCAACAAAAAGTAACTGCCAATAGAGGTAGCATAAGAAAAACAAGCCAGTTTTGCTATCAATAACTTTAATAATTTGTCATCTTTGAGTCAATAAAAGTAAACTTAATTTAGTTTGTAAAAAAAATTTTTTAAGTTTTAAGAGCCAGCTAAAAATGGAAGTGAAATGGGATGGCTTTGCAGGCAACTAATTGCAAACACACAAATAATTTCAAGGGAACTGCGATCCTTTCAATGGGTTGTGTAAGTGATGGAAATGCCAACCTATGTATATTGGGGTTTTCAACAATGCTGTGCTACAAGATCATAAGAAGTTACAGTTTAGGGGCACCTGGGTGGCTCGGTTGTTAAGCGTCTGCCTTCGGCTCAGGTCATGATCCCAGGGTCCTGGGATCAAGCCCCGCATCGGGCTCCCTGCTCTGCGGGAAGCCTGCTTCTCCCTCTCCCTCTCCCACTCCCCCTGCTTGTGTTCCTGCTCTCGCTATCTCTCTGTCAAATAAATAAATAAAATCTTTAAAAAAAAAAAAAGAAGTTACAGTTTAATAATATTAAAAGACTTCAAGTTTGAAATCTTGGATATTGTATTCCAAAAATGATACATACCCCAAAAATATGATGAAGACAAACACACACGTAGTAACAGCGCAAGATTCATAAAGGCTTTGGTTGAACTTAAAGAAATTGCATTTCAAAGTTTTCTTGCATTATCTGAAGAGGCACCATTCAATAAAATTATCCATCTCCTAAAAAATACTGATCATGCCATCAGTTTCAAAGCATCTATCTTAATTATACAGAATCAGGTAATAGAAAAGGCTAGTGCTATTCCCAATATTATGCTAAATGACCCAATCTTGTGAATTCCAACGAGTCATCATATTTAACTATGGTGATTATTATTAACCAAGTTTGAAATCATTTCTTTTCCTGAAAGAATCTTCAATTCTTAGCTTGCAGAACTCAGAAAGGGAAAGAGGGATGATCTAAACAGAGTTAACCATAACCCTACCAATTATTTCAACACTTTAACTTTACTTTCCCACAAATAAAACAGAACAAAGCAAACTATTCTTATCACTCTTTACAATTATATTAGCAGAAATAAAAAGTAGCCACTAAGTATATTCCAGCAATCTAAAACACTAGGTTTTAACTCATTTAAATAGGAGGCAGAAGACTGCAGTGGTTGAGAGGATGGGCTGCAGAGTGTTGCTCCTTTGGTTCAAATCCCAGCCCCCCATCTAGCCATGTGATGCAAGTTACATGCCCTCTGCATCCATTCCCTCACCTGCTAACTGAAGAGCAGTCCTCACCTCACTGGACTGTTGTCAGCACTTAATTACAACAGTGCCTGGCACATAGTAATTTAGAAAGACTTATTTCTAAATTGATTCTTCATAGGATTTCTTTAAGGAATCAATTTTTAAAATCAAGCCCTTTTTAAGAAGCAGGGAAGGGACAAAATCCAAATTCATATAACTCTTGTCCAATAAGAATCTAAATAGACATCACCCTACTTTACAAGAGAGGGTTAATCCAGATCTCCTACAACTTCTGAGCTTCAATTACATGTCAGACACTGTGCTGCCTGAGTCAAGGCATCCAGATAGTGTTGTAACACTGGAAAAATGAGGGCTCCACTTCCTTATCTGCTACCAGTAAGCTATATGCCCTTAAGTAGGTCATAAAATGGTCATAAAGCATTCTATAAAATGGAGGGGTGGGGAAAGAAGAGACAGAGAGAAAATCGATTTCTGGTTTAGTCATCAAAATCCTGTGAGTCCTAAAGGGATAATTCTGATGATTCCTAAGATTATCCTCCTATGAAGGAAGAAGAGGACAAAAAGAAGATAGCAGTTAAAGTCAGCTTGACCAGGTTAAGTCCTATTCGTACTCCTTTTGAGCTCCGTAAAGTCAAAAATGGTATCTTATTTATCTGTATAACCCAGTACACTGGCACGCAGTGTACAAAATGCTGGTCTGGTAAAACTATACGTAAATATTGAGGATTAACTACATTTTTATTAGAGATGTCCTCAGAGAATTAGAAGTTACCTAATTCTTGAGATATATTTCTTCCCCTCCGTTGCGCTATACACTTTGCCTTTGCCTCATTTAATTCTCACACTAGCCCAGAGAAGTAGGTATTATCATTACCCCATTTAATGTATCAGGAAACTGAGGTCGTAAAGGTTACGTCGGTTAACGGAAGCGCTGGTTACAAGGCTCCTCCTAGCCAGAGCCCGCATTCTAACCCAGGTCTATCTTGCTTGAAAAATCTGTGCTCTTAACCACCCTGAACTGCACTTCCATTGACACTCGGCCAATAAGCGCGTTCAGAAGGAAAAAGATAACAGACATAAAGACATATCTGCCTTTAGCTCCACCGTGTAATGTTATGATAAAAATATTTGTCCGGGGTGATGCGGTCGGCCGAGACGAGGGCGGAGGCCCTCTTCCTCTGCCAACAATGTAATCTCCGGAGGGAAGAAATAAATCTCAGATCTGTGCCTGCGGCTGCCCTGGCAAGCGAGCGGTGACAGCAGAAGGCAGCCGGCACAAAAATATCTGCCTTTGACGAGCCATCCCGTAAATTCTTTAGAATCCGCTGGGGAGCAAAAAGCGGCGCACAGGGAAGTCCGAGGACAAGGCTGTCTTTCTTCAGTTTTAACTCCGCCAAGTGGCTGCGAACCTCAACCGTTGACTCCTCCAGACCTCAGTGTGCTCATCTGTAGTGCGGGACTCAGGATACTTAGGACCCGCCTTCCTCGCTCAGCGGTGCTAGGGGGCGGGGGGGGGGGGTCCAAGAGAGACGGCCCTGGCGAAAACACCTTCGAAACAGCCGGGTCCAAGCCAGCCCTCCGAGGGGACAGCAAGCGGGGGAGATACAGATCAACGGTCTCTTCACCCACTCCAGAACAACTCACTGACCAGAAGGCGAGAAGAGCACCCTGCAATACTCACTGCCGGACAACGATCAGAGCAAAGCGCGTCATCTTCCTGGCGCCGGGAGGGAGGGAAAGCGGTTGCCCCAGCTCTCCGGCTCGCGTGCCCAGCACCCTCCTGCGCGCCGCTTCCCCGCACTGCGGGACACCTAGCCGACACCACTTCCGCCAAGCCCCGCCGGCCGGCCGGCTCCGCCGCCATAGGTCGTGACGGCCGTCTACGTCATCCCTGGAGGGCCAATCAGGGCGGGGGGAGGCCGGCAGGTCGGAGGAGACTGGTGAGCGACGAGACCCCGCCCAGGGCCGTGGCGCTTGCGCCCCTGCGCGCAGGCCTATGATTGGCGCGCGGCAGGTGCGTGCGGGGCCGGCCCTGGAGTCCGCAGTAGAGGCGATTCTTACCCCGGCAAGTTTGGATCCGGGAGATTCCGGGTAGGTAAGGGAACCAGCTCACGGTTTTGGGTTGATTTCATTTGAAGCTGTAATGCAGCTAGTAGTCTTACCTCAGGGGTGTACTGCGCCAGACACATTGGGTCCTATGAGGTTTTACTGTTAATCCCTAACACTGGGGATGTAGGGTCCGCAAAGTCTGGGGACTTAGACCCACCCAGTTTCGGTCCCCGCCCGCGCCTTGACAGACACACTCCTGCAGCAAACTTTAGGCAGGTTTGTTTTGAGCGCATTTCTAGACTAGGCCTCATTCTTGGCCTGCTGAGCCGGGTTTCACCGAAGACCCCTGCGGAGCTAATTTATCGAGAATCCCTTCACCCTTCGTATCGAATCAAGCTCTTCTTCCTCCACCCTTGGTTTTTAATGGAGCTCTCCGTCCTCCCAAATTCCTCTTCCCCCTCTCCCTTGATACCTAACCAACTTCTTAGTTTCCATTCCCTCCCTCACTCCGCCCCCTGGCTGTAAACCTCTGCTGTTTTTGGTCTCTGCTGTATTTGGAGTTGAATTCAGTCTTTCCACCACACTGCAAGTCTTAACCCCAGTTGCAGTTGACTTAAGTAAAGTCTTCCCCCTCGCCATTTTTTAAGGAGTATCTGGCGACTAATGTTTCTCTAACAGCTTTCAGGGCCTTGAGAGAGATACTTAACCTCTCTGTTACATGATAAGTAAAATGGAATAACAGGTAAAGCTTACTCGTGCCAGCTTTACAATGATATAGCTTAATAATGTTAACCTTTACATTGTTTTCCATCCATTTTTACTTATATTCCTATTTGATAATGCAATTCCCCCCAATTATATATGCAAAGATGGGTTTAGAGAAATCAAGTGATGCATGGGATTTATAGGCACACTTTTCAAAAACGGTTTCACATGTGTGATCACATTTGGCCCTCAGAACAAGTCCAAGGTAGACAGGGTATCTTCACTTAAGAGACGAAGAATCTGGCCTAGAGAGAAATTAAGCAATTATTCTAAGCTCACAGCTGGTCTATGGTGACACAGGACTGGTTCAGTGATTCTCAAACCCACCCACACATTGGAACCATCTAGGACCTTTTGAATGCCAGGCCACAGCCCAGAAAAATTAAATCTGAACCTCTGCAGGAGGGATCCAGACATCAGTAATTTTTTTTTCCTCCCCAGCTCTTTCCAATGTACAGTCAGCTTTGAGAACTAGAAGCTTAAGGCAGTGCTTCGCCAACTTGAACAGGCATACAAATCACTTGGGGATCTAGTTAAAATGATTCTGATTTAGTAGATCGGGAGTGGGGACCAAATTCAGCATCTCTAACAAGCTTTCAGAATGACGGTGGAAGGATAATTCAGAGGATTCTAAAAGAAGGCCCAAATTACCATGGGAGTACACTGCCTACACATAGTAGATAGTTTATATAAATATTCTGAATGCCTGAGTGAATGAATCAGTCCAACAGATTCTCTGGAAGTTTGAACTAGAAAAGGGAAATTAATTAGGTAGTTGTAAGTGAGGACTAAAGAGAAAAAGCATCAAGAAAACCCGTAAGATCGAGCAATGAGGAGCATGCAGACTGAAGCTATGAAGAAACAGAAACCACAAATTATACAAGCTTGAGAACAGATTTACAGAGTAGGAATTAAGAACAAGCAAGGTAATAGAAGAAATCAGTAAACACACAGAAACAGACACAAGTGTGTAATGCAGAGACTACCTGGTCCCTAGTCCCTCCAGCTGCCATAACACCGATACTTTATAGGTTCTTTTATACAATAAAAACTCTTTCTCTTTAAGGTAGTCTGAGTACATTTCTAAAGCTTAACTAAAAAACAGACTTCCACTTTGTCTCATTTAACACTCACCATAACTCTGCAAGGTATGAATTATTAATTTTATTTTTTTAAGCTTTTATTTATTTGAGACAGAGAGCATGAGCAATGGGGAGGGGCAGAGGGAGAGGGAGAAGCAGACTCCCCACTGAGCAGGGAACCCAATGCAGGGCTCCATTCCAAGACCCTGGGATCGTGACCTGAGCCAAAGGCAGCCGCTTAACCAACTGAGCCACCCAGACACCCCTATTTTTATTTTACAGTTGAAAAACTTAAGGCACAGAGAAGCTAACTAATTTCCCATCTCTCAGTATCTCAAAACTGAGTTTGACCCCAGGTAAGTATGCTCCAGGTGGTATCAAAACTATAACTATGAAGGTAAGTACTGGCTCTGTTTCATTATTTCCCCGGCTCCTATCAAAATGTTTAAAACACAGTAGGGACTCAATTAAAATTTGTTAATGCATGAATGAGGAATATTTATTATGCTCAATTTCTCAAATGAACTAACATCTAAAAAATTATCTGATAAAATGGGAGAGTACTAATTTAGGAGAAATTTAGAAAATTATAAAGCACCAGTATTAACTTAAAGAATTATGCAAGAAATATGTATAAAAAAGAGTGTTTTCATTAACTCTAAGAATAAAAAAAAACACAGTTGAGAAATGAAGATCTTTGAAAGAATGGACATAATCTTGCATTATTCACTCAACAGTTCCAGGATTGCTCTTCAGCTTTTAAAATGAACAGGGAGTTGGTTTAACCTTTGTTTAGACAGAAAGTAGAAATAACCACCAATAGGCTTTTGTTGACAACCTGTCACATCACATATGCCCTTTTTTTTTTTTAAATAAAAAATAGTGCTTTGTTGTGGTATAGCATATGATGGAATTCTGAATTAATTAGGATGGGCCAAGTTATGCTGAGGTAACAAATTAACCCTGAAGGCTTAACACATAAAAGTTTCTCTCTTGTGTAACTTGTCTGACATGTATCAAAAAGGGGCTTTGCTCCACATAGCCACTCAGGGATTAGGGTTGACAGATATATCAATGTAAATACATATACATTCATTATTCCTGGGGCAGGAGAGGAGAACAATTAAAGGTCTTGAACCAGTTCTTAGAGGCTTCCTCCATGCATTGTCCAGAGCTATTGACATGGCCCTATTTAACTGCAAATGTAATGGGAAACATGGAGAACACATACATGTTTAGTGAGTACACAATGCCATAAATACTGTGCATGTTGGGATTATCCTAGGATTCTGTCCTTAGCTCTCTTCTTCACCTAACCGTGCAGTCTCCTAGGTGATCCTATCCAATGTATAGATATTTATATCTCCAGTCCACAAGTTTCCAGTCTCCTCCTTCATTTGTCCAGTTACCTACCCAGCATCTTCACTTGGATCTCCAATGGGCATCTCAGGCTAACTTTGTCCACACGGAATCTTTGATTTTTACCTCCTAAGACTGCTCACCCTTCCTCAAGTCTCTCTCATCTCATGGCAATATCTTCTACCCAGTTGCCCATGTAATCCTAGATTCTTATCTTAACCTAACACTCTTCATCAAATTCATCACAAATTTCTGTAGTCTCAATAATGCAGTGAATGCTGGACTTTTGGTCGTGTTTTCAAATAAAGATTTAATTATAGTCTTCACTGAAAATGAGCCAAGGGTGAAAATGCTTGATCTACTCAGGATGTGGGATTAGGGAGGAGAGCGTGGGTTGGCATCAGTTTCCAGATACTTTTAACAATAGCATTAAGGGTAAAATTAATTATATTAATTAAATAACCAAATGCTGGCCTGCTGGTTAATAGGAGTCAATGAAATTTCTATTTTTCTTGTTTATAATTTTAACTAAAGGGTTTTTTCCTTATTCTGAGATTAAGACTGAAATAGTCATAGACTTAGATTTATAGGACTTCAAAGATCTTTAAAGATACACGTCTTTGAAATTTGTGGAGACTCATTTTGTGAACTCGTCCATGGTCATTTTGTATAAATTCCTCATGTATGCTTGGGAACAATGTGGGCTCACGCATTATTGGGTACAGAGCTCTATGTATGTCTGAATTGAGCTTACTTATGTTCAAATATTCATCAATCAATAAATCTAAAAGCTAAAAAAAAAAAAAGTTCTGTGTGCTTTATCACCAAGGTATGTGTTGAGTCCCTCACTCTTCCTTGTGACCTTACTACATCCTCCCCTAAGCTCCATCATCTCTTGTCTGGATGACTGTGGGAGTCAGTCTGTTCTCTTGTACGCTATACACAATCTCCTACTCAGCAGCCAAAGGGATGTCTTTATAATCACATCATGCCAGCCCCTTGCTAGTAAATTCCTTAATGGAGTGTCACTGCCACTAGAATAAAGTCTCCACTGCTTACCCAACTCCTACAAGGCCTGGGTGACTTGGCCTTCCTCTAGGTCTCCAGTCCCATTTCTCTGTTCACTCCCCTTCTTCACCAAGCCCTAGCTACAATGTTTCTTTCTATTCCTAGACCATGACATGCTCATTCCTGTCTCAGGGTCTGCATTTTTTGTTCCTTCTGTTTACAAAGCTCCACCCCCCCACACACACCTGCCCCAGACGTTTGAGTGGTTATTTCCTTCTTAACTTTCAGATCCTAACTCAAGTCACCTTGTCAAAAGGCCTTCCCTCAAGCAAAGTAGCCTGCCTGGTGACCATCTATCATCCTATTTTATCTGAAACTCTACCACTTATTTACTGTTTTTACAGTTTTATCACCTGTCTCTGCTAGAATGTAAATTCCTTGAGGCTAGGGACAACCTTG